CTTCCCCACCCCAACCCCCACCCCACTCTCAGTCGCTCGCATTGTGTAGCAACGTAGAAGGGTTTCTTCTGTATGCATGTGTAATTTGAACCGAATGACATCTGAACCCTCAGAATCGAGGCACTGTGCTGAAGTCGTCCATCTCCAAAACATCCATGTTTTTCTGGATGTTTTTCTGGGCGGTAAAAATTCCGCTAGCAAAAACTTGGACTAACCAAGTTTTCGATCATTTTGTTGAACTAAAACTTGGTGCGCCCAAGTTTTGGTTAAAACCAACTCCAAAACTTGGGTACACCAAAGCTTTGAAATTGGTATCCCTGGAGCCTCATTTTGTAGCAGTGTTTGTTTTAGAGGGGGCGCAGAACCTATCATGATGCAACAAAAAATGAGAACCCACAGTTCTGTAGGAATTTCCAGGGGGATACATTTTGCACGCAGTTTTTTAATACACAGTGTTCTACAAAGATGCCTGTTTTGCATGGCTTGGCCAAACATTGGCTCTACAGAGTGCTTTTCTTACCGAATGATGTGGCCTACAAACTAAGGCGTCAGTTTTTAAACACGACTTCATGGAAATCTGATATTTGTGACTGATCAGACCCTGATTTCTTACATCCAGGTCCACGACTTCAAGATTCTGACCTATGGGTAGAAACGTCTTGCACCAAAATCATGTAAAACGCATAAAGTATATCAAAGAATCACACCATAACGCCATATAGAATCCCTGGACCCGACGTCACTTTTCTAACTTTGGGGGCCACAACCTCAGTGACTCAAATTGGCAGGCAACTTGTGCTGATGAAGATGCTCTTAGGCCCAAAAAATCATTTGGGTTTGATCCATTCCAAGTTCTGCGAGAATGAATCGCTCTTCAACTCTCTTGACGAATCCCGAGTTGCTGTTATAAAACGCTGCTCAAAAAAATAATGTCGGAAACCAATACTGTAAATAGGGTTTATATTCGTTTTTGAATTCCCGCCTTCGTAGCCCACTACTAAACAAACAACATGGACGATTTTAGGGAGTTTTGTTTTGAGTTAGGTTCCTAAAGCAACCCTAACTGTCCACCTGTGTCTACCCTGTCTGTTCATCCCGTCCCTGTCTGACCACCATGACTAGATACAACAATGTAACACCAAGCCTCGCGGGCACTGCCAATCATCCCGCTCCCCATGACACGCCGCGTTTACGCCAGCCAGCATGTTTTCCTTCCAATGGCATGGACTCACGCGAACGCACTTTCCACCGAGGCCGCGCAAAACGGCATGGCACGGCGAGCTCACCTTTCGAAATCTTTTGTTGGTAGCCCAGTGAAAAGGATATCGACGAATCACGGGAAAAGGACAACCCTTCGATCTGGAGTCATCTACAAGTTTCCTAGGCAATTTTTTGTTTTGAAGCTCTTCCCAGGCTTCAGACTTTGCGGGTCTTCCCATTTCGGGACCCCCTATGAAACAACGTTGAACATATATTTTCTATTGGAGGGGCCTGCGTGTTTTTTAATAGGTGGAAGGGATTATGATCCGCTTGTGACCTTCAGCCCTGCAATTTCATGTATGCAAGACTCCACCCTTTCTCCCGCTCTGGTGCCCGCCATTTGGCCGTCATCGACGTCGGCTTGCGGCGGCTAAGGGCGGTGTGCAGATTGGCAATGCTTGCTGGGAACTCTTCTGCTTGGAGCATGGAATCCAGCCTGATGGTGCCTGAACTCCATCGGGGGTTCGGTGGGGGGAAGGAGCTGGAGGACCAGACTTGATGGCTGCCAATGGTGAAGGTTGCGAAGAAGTGAAGCAGATGATGCGGGGGCTTGAATCTTTGACAAAGGACCTCTTTGCAAACGTGGGGGGATGTGAACATGGGTCAAACAGATGAGGAACAAACCAATTTATGAAATGGACAGTTATCCATTAGACAATTAGATACATTCTCAGGACACAGCTGACTCTTGATCCCGCCCGCCTGTGTAAATCGGAGGCGGTCACCAATCTCATGGCTTTGAGGGGCACAGATCATTTGAACATTAACGAAATCATTTAACCCCAAATGACCTGAACATGGTGCCTCACTCGCAACACATTTCGAGGAAAGGGCTTGAACCCCCGTGCTACAGAAACTCGAATTCATTTGCTGTGGTAGACACTTAAGTAGAGTGTAGAGGATGTTGAGCACTTGGCCCATGGTGCCATGGTCTCACTTTTTCATATATATATATTGTTTTAGCATGGCTGTGCAATCTTGCAACTCAAGATCCAAAGCTACATGGTTTGAAAAAACAGTGAGATCTTGGGAGCAGATGGCTGTAAGCCCCATGGTAGCGGTGACGACTGCTGTCACTGTCCTCTTTTTCGGATGCGCCGACGTCATCGGTCGAGGTCAGATGCCCAGCGACAAGACCATTGGTGGCGGAGATGATGCCTTCAACACGCGGGGGTGCCGAGGGTGATGAAACGATGCTCCAACGAACCACATACAATCTGAATCAATCTGATGGGACCCAGTCAGGTTTGGGTTTTGGGCGGTTTTCTGGCCTAGACGCCCTCCAGTTGAATGTTGTTTGAATCACAGCTCCACCAAAAGGCTGGGGTGATAGGGGTCGACAACTGTAGGGTCAAATGTCTGGGATTGCTACTAAGTTTATTCAGGTCGCTTCGCGACGACAACCGCCCGCACCAGTGGCTCTCAGAGAGAGTAAAAGAAGTATCTATAATCGCCCTATGGACTCTTTGGACTTTTTGATACACTCTTTAAATTGTTTAGCTATGCCTTACTTGCATATTGCAAGCATTCTTGGATCAATTTTCAACTCCCTTGAAATTGTGCATTGTACACTTTCAAGGGGTTGCAAAAAAGAGTGAGTATTTTGTATTTACACTAGACTTTACATTGTGCGTGATCGAGACAAGAGATGAACGCAGCATGAAGTGGATAAAGAAAGTTTAAACGTATATAAAATCGTTTTTTGATACACATTAACTTTTTTAGAGTTGTGTCTTGCTCGCAGCTTGCAAGCATTGTTGGATATATTTTCGACCCCCTTGAAGATGTCAGTCAGTTTTCAGGATGTCCAAACTGTCCAGCACTGCTTGCTAATGAATATAACTTTGACACTGGCCCTGAACCGTGTCCAATTTCGAAGGGATCGAACAGTAATTGTATATATATACAACAAACTAGACAATGTGTAATGTGCATCAGCAACACAACACTTAGAGATGAATGCAGCATGAAGTGGATGAGTAATATTTAGAGAAGTGTCAAAAATCATTCTATTTTTGGACCCTCTTACAAATTGTTTGCAAGCCGGGCAATTTTTCGGTTTGTTCGTTTTCAGGACTCCAAACTCCAAATTATACTAACTTGCAAGCGCTTTGTTCAATAAACTATGCCATCACAGTTAGCTGATGCATGCTGACGCAAATGATGCAACCACGAAACATGTATCAAGATATTGACTGTTGAAACATTTGGTTCTTTTTTCATGAACATAGTGACTCAAAATATACGGTGATGAGAAACATAGTCAGACATTCCTGATATACAGTAGCTGATATAGAAAAAACCATGTGTTTATCAATGTTTGGTCCCACTCGCACTCCTCACCCAGACACATCTCATGATGCAGAATATGCATTGTCGTTCCCAAACAAAAGTGCACCCCAGCGAAAGCTGTATAGCAATGAATGCTTGCTCAGAGTTTAACTCTCCAGCACCTTCGGCGCGGGGCGGATCTACAGTCCTTGGCCAATTTGCGCAGAGTAATGAAAGAAATCCCACCTACATTGATCAAATCCTGTGGTCGTTTCCAAACTTTGCAAACGAGGAATCAACTGTATTTGGTTGCTTGTAGTGGCGTTGGGGAGGGTTTCGGGGTGACAGAGTTGTTTTGGCTGGCACGCAATAGACAGTCGCCTAATCATTCAATGTCACCAGGTCTAACCATTGTCTCTCAGTAGTTGAAGCCAGGAACTTTTCCGAGGAGCATGCTGTTTATTATAATGTTTGTTTTTTGCCCGAAAGCATTGCGAAGGGTTCTTCCTGAAAATCCCTTGACCACTGACACTTCGACACTTACACTTACACACTGACACTTCCATACTTGCACTTGAACACTGACATTTCTACACCTAATGAAAACTTGCACGGGAGATGTCCTTTCCCCACTTTATAAATTCTCTCTTAAAGGCGGAGCGTGGGACGAACAGCATCAACCGAAAATGCAACCCTCTGCGGAGATCGTGCGTGTCGTGTGCGCGAAATGCAGGCGAGAGTGCGATTTGGCGCGTTCCCGCGCAACCCTCTGCGGAGATCGTGCGTGTCGTGTGCGCGAAATGCAGGCGAGAGTGCGATTTGGCGCGTTCCCGCGCAACCCTCTGCGGAGATCGTGCGTGTCGAGTGCGCGAAATGCAGGCGCGAGTGCGATTTGGCCCGTTCCCGCGCAACCGTCTGCGGAGATCGTGCGTGTCGAGTGCGCGAAATGCAGGCGAGAGTGCGATTTGTCCCATGCTCGCGCAACCCTCTGCGGAGATCGTTCGTGTCGAGTGCGCGAAATGCAGGCGCGAGTGCGATTTGTCCCATGCCCGCGCAACCCTCTGCGGAGATCGTGCGTGTCGAGTGCGCGAAATGCAGGCGAGAGCGCGATTTGTCCCATGCCCGCGCAACGCTCTGCGGAGATCGTGCGTGTCGAGTGCGCGAAATGCAGGGGAGAGTGCGATTTGGGGAGCTGGAAGATGAGAACTGGCGATTTGCTAGTACAACTTTAGTGCGCGGAGCAATCTGTGGAGCTGGAAGCTGAGAACTG